CATTTGGGCACAGGGACCCTTAAACCCTAAACCCTAAAAACTTTGAGATACTCTAATCGAGCCCTTGCGGTGCCCTTATTGGCTAAAGTTATAAAGCCCTTGAAGGAACCCTAACCCCTAAACCCCTAAACCCCTAAACCCTAAACCCTAAACCCCTAAACCCTAAACCCTAAACCCCTAAAACACTGAACCCTAAACCCCTAAACCCTAAACCCCTAAACCCTAAACCCTAAACCCTAAACCCCTAAAACCTAAACCCCTAAACCCTTTTGAGCACATGTAGGCCTGGATCAGCTGCGAGAAAGTTGGGCCATCCGGTGGACATGGCCTGCCAAGCAGCCGGGTTTAGGGTTTAGGTTTTAGGGTTTAGGGTAAGGAAGGGGCCTTAATAATTAGAATGGGGCTTTGGGGTCATCTATGGTATAAGTTTGCCCTAAACCCTAAACCCTAAACCCTAAACCCTTAAGGAGCCCCCACATAATGCAGGTAGCTATTGGGGCCCCTATATTACCGGTCTAAGTACCTAAGGGTTTGGGGTTGAGGGGGCTCGGGCCAGAAGGGATGTCGAGTCTAATTCTGTTTGGTATCGGGTTGGGCTACATGTTCAACTACACATTGAAAACCTGAAGCCTTGAACCCTAAACCCCTAAACCCCAAACCGTAAAACCCCTAAACCCCAAACCCTGTACCCTAAACCCCTAGGCAGGTTTTTAGGACCAGGTTCCTGGTGAAACCTTCTTGGGAACATCCTCCAAGTAATGTAGGGGCCCACATAAGTACCTACACTATATATATATATATATATATATTTTTATTTTTTTTTGTTGTTTTGATTTTTTGGGGGCCTTACTATAATTATAGCATAGTTGGCCCCAAGACCCTATTCTATTTATTCAAGCCCCTATATTATAGGGGCACCAACAGGCAAAATTTATGGCAGCTTACGAAAGCTTTCAGAAAGATACCTTTTTTGGGTTTGGGGTTTTTGGGGTTTAGGGTTCAGGGTTTAGGGTTTAGAGGGCCCTTGCAAGGGGATCCTAGTCTTGAGGGTCTAATCTGTTTAGGGTTTAAGGTTTAGGGAGTTGTTTAGGGCCCCTTGTTATCGGAAACTCCCAAAGATGACTGGGAATGAGAGTCCTCTTTAAGGAGCCCTGAATCTAAGGTTGAAACCATGGGC